TGCTTGGGGGTGGAGTCTGTCTAGAATCTCCCAGTGAGGTGCTAGGGGCGAGGTCAGGGTGGAGCTCCCACGTAGAACCCGCAGGGCGGGGCTGAGGCATGCTCAAGGTGGAGCCCCGCCCAGAATCCCCCAGGGAAGGGGAGGGGGGAGCGGCGTGGTCAGGTGTCCAGTGTTGGGAGCTCAAGCCTTCATGTTGGCCTTCATCATGGCCATGAATGTTCAAATAAAATAAAAAGAGAGTGGAAGAGGAAAGAGGAAACAAGTTCCAGAGGAGAAAAAAGAGGTCTGGAGATAGATGATGGCTTGGTTAAGCCTTTGCAGGCACAGGAGCCATGTCACACACCTATAGTCTCAGTTCTTGGGAGGGAGGTTGAGGCAGGAGAATTTCTTTGACTTTTTTGTTGTTGTTGTTTTGTTTTGTTTTTGTTTTTCGAGACAGGGTTTCTCTGTGTTGCTTTGGAGCCTGTCCTGGTACTCGCTCTTGTAGACCAGGCTGGCCTTGACCTCACAGAGATCCTCCTGCCTCTGCCTCCCGAGTGCTGGGATTAAAGGTGTGCGCCACCAATGCCCGGCTCAAATTTCTTTGACTTTAAGGCTGCTCTGGCTACATACATGGTGAGATAGTATCTTAACACCTCCACCTTTTTTTTTTTAACCTGGGTGGTGGCGGCACACCTGTCTCGAAAAACAAACACAAACAAACAAAAAGTGGACTGTCTGCAGAGATGAGGACAACATCCCAGTGTCTGTGGGGTCTCATCCCCACCCCTGCTCACCCGTGGGTGGCATGAGCATCCAGAGCAGTCTCTCAGCCTTTCTAACACTGAGATCCTTAATACAGTTCCTCAGGTTGTAATGACCCCCAGCCATAAAATTATTTTCATTGCTACTTCATAGCTGTAATTTTGCTGTTATGATATAATTTTCTGATGGTCTTAGGACCTGTAAAAGGGTTGGTTGACTCCCAAAGGGGTTGAGCCCCACAGGTTAGGTCCCTCAGACAGCCGTTAAGGGGATAGTGTCTGTTTCTACTTCCCAGTCTTCAGCATTCCAGCCCTCCCCGTGTCCCCTCATGTCCAGGCACCCTCAGCCATGACTCTCCCTACTGTGGGGATGCTGGCACAGGCTGGGTTCCAGAAGGTCCTGCGCTGGACCTTTCTCTCCTCTTTGTCTCTTGAGGCCTCTCATGTCTTGCTCTAACTCCATCTACTGTTGAAGTGCTGCTCCTAACTCCATGAACACCTTTAAAACCCTGGGCCAGGGAGGATGTCCCTCCACATGGAGGGCTGTGTTTGGTGGATTGAAACACAGAGCAGAGAGAGTCAGGGCCACATGCAAAGGGGGTGGCTTATTGGGGTCACAGCAGGACCTTTACCAAAAGCCCTGTGCCTCAGGACCCCCGGTGAAGGTGACATTCTCACCTCTTGGAAATAGGGAACAGTCAGGCTAGGTGACTTCACACCTGAAGCCTTCAACTCAATCTGACCTTGACCCTGACAAGGCAATGGCCTGTGAGCCGCCCAGTCAGAGACCCAGGGAAGTCTCAAGATGGGACCCTAGTGCAGGACACTCCCTGTGGGAAGGTGATGGCTTCAGAGGCTGCACAACCTGAGGGACTCACAAACCAGCCTCCTGGGTCTTCCTGGGAGCCCCTCTGATATTGTCCACGGTTATTTCTTTCCCTGGGTTCCTTTTGTATTGGCTGAGGCTGGGCCAGGGACACCCCATCTGATGGCTGGAAGGCAGGTGTCTGGGAAAGAGAAGCCAGCCTGGCAGGACATAAAACCACCCTCTGCCCTCCACACAGGGGTCTGGGGAATGCTCCACGCTGGATTAATTCAGAGGGGCAGCCTGTGGGAGTGGGAGAGCTGGGGCAGGTCACCTGGAAACACAGGAGGGAGTGTGTGTGGGGGGAGAAGACCCTCTGTCTGAGGCTCACATGCACTGCTCTCTGCAGACTGCGGCCTGGCGCCCCCCGGGGCCCTGACCCGGATCGTGGGAGGCAGCGCGGCCTCGCGTGGGGAGTGGCCCTGGCAAGTGAGCCTGTGGTTGCGGCACAGGGAGCACCGCTGCGGGGCTGTACTGGTGGCCGAGAGGTGGCTTCTATCGGCAGCACACTGCTTTGACATGTGAGTCCTGCCCCAGTGGGGGTCCACCTGCCCTTCCTCAGCCCACCTCTGCAATTTGGTGCCAGCCCCCAAGGCCACTAGACAGGTCTCCCTGGCAGGGCGCTGGATGTGGAGGGTGCAGTTCCTTCAGGGGACCGCCAATGTGGGGCACAGGGTGAAAGGGACAGATGGTCCCATGTTGTGTCTGAAGTACTGTGGCAGGGGGCTCCACTCTGGGGGGCTGGTGCTGAGCACCAGGAGCTCGGGTAGAAATGGCAGAGGCTGGTGGTGCTCCCTAGGCCTTGTGCTGGTCAGACTAGTGTGCGTGTGCGTGTGCGTGTGCGAACGCGGCAGTCCTGCTTCTACTGCCCTTGTCTCAGTCAAGAGCCTTGTCTCAGATCTTCCGAGGGTGTGTGTGGGTGGGGTGGGGACCATCCTCAGCTCTGGATATGATGCCAGCTAGTGGTATCCTCTCAGAGGGACACCCCTTGTGGCAGAGTGAACCCGAGTTGGGGAGGACAGAGTAGCCCATTTCCAGCAGAACGGTGACTCTGCCCTGCAGCTATGGGGACCCTACGCAGTGGGCAGCTTTCCTGGGCACCCCGTTCCTGAGCGGCGCCGAGGGCCAGCTGAAGCGCGTGGTGCGCATCTACCGACACCCCTTCTACAACCTCTACACGCTGGATTACGATGTGGCGCTGCTGGAGCTGGCAGGGCCCGGGCCCCGCA